TTACCTATCTATGCAATACAGCGGAATACTGCAATAAGTTTAGTATACGACCCCTATTAATCAAACATTTTTATTTTTATTTTATATATACAGTATATATATATATATATAAGTTAATTTTACTCATATATTAATTTATTTTTATTAATTTATTTGTTGTTATTTATTTTTTATCTTTTTATTAATTACTTTATTTATTTAGTCATGTTGGTGTTTCAGAGCTTCAGTTACTTTCATTATATTGAAAAGAATTATACCCTCACTGGGGGCTGAGCCCCTCTAAAATGAAAATCCTTGAATCGCCCCTGCTGAAAGAGAAAACATTACAAACACTCTATGTGAATTCTGTCACATCCTTAAATGTATGCCGCCACACTGTCAGTTGTACACTTGTTCTTGCAGTGCATTATGGAAATTAATAAGTGCACTCAATAATGTTGACTATGGTGACATCACTATAAGTGACTGTCCTCTTAAATAGTGCACAATGTAAGGGTATAAGGGGTGATTTCAGGCACAGTCTAAAACAATCTGGCTGCAGCTGAAATTGCATATTCTGATTGGGTACTTCTTTAGTGTACTGCGTACTGTACTGTGATTGCTAAAAAGTAGTTTTTATATAGCAAGAATGTAATCCCTGTGGATTATTGCCATTTACAGCTCACACATGGGATGGAAAAGTGTCCATTAGTTGCACATTGCAAAATCTCATTGAAAGTATAGTAATTCGTCTTACTTTTTGCCTGTTGTTATGAATACTGTGAATTCTGCCATACTACTATTTATGCATACTGTTTTTCACCTACTATATAGTAGGGAAGTAGGCATATTTAGAAACAGCCCCTCTTTTTCTTGGTCAACAAGATTTAATTTGGCCCTTATGAGGATTTAGGCTATTTGGGATTTTGCCCCTGCCAACTTGAATTTTAAAATGTTTTTATATAAAGATCTATAAACTTATATATACTTAACATACTTCTTACAATTCCAGTACTGTTCTATATGGTTTAATTTTATTATTGCGTATCTGAATATTGAGGTGCAAGGGATGTAAACTTCTCATTTAATAATTTAGCTGTAAGTGAATAATTCTCATGCCTTTTGGTTTTGTACAATTTGAAGGATTGAAGGCTCACAATACAATATGAAGTAACTCACATCTTTTGAATTATACAAGATGGATGACACTTTTATGTTTTTTCCTAAAGCCAGAGAAGAAAGACATATTCTGAATGATGATGGGATTCAATGTTCTGATGTGAATCTCTGTGGATGGATATATAATTACGTTATATATCTGTCTGGATAACAATGGGAAACTCACCAAAACCAGTCTCACACAGAGAAAAACATAAAGAGGAGTACAAAAAGAGAAATTGTATTTAAGTTGAAGCACTGGCACTGTGTGAAAATGGTAATATTAAATGTAAAATTAAAACATTTAATTGTACTCTCCTTTATTCTATATTTCCTCTTAAGTTAGTCGCTGATGGGTTGAAATATTTATGGATATTCATTACTAGCTCTCTCAAGGATCTTTTCATTAAGAACAGCCACTAATGGACAAATGCAAATTAGAAATGGATAGGTGAGCATCCCTTCCTCCTTCTTTAGTAGGCAATGTGAATCTTATCAGAATAGTGATTCTGCCAAAATGTTTATATCTTTTTCAGCACATTCCAGTCTGTATTAATAAATGCTTTTTCACCAGTTTGGATCAGCAATTGAGTGGGTTCTTCTGGTGTGGCAAGCCAGCCTGCATTAGGAGATCAGTTTTTCAGCTTCCCAGATCTGAAGGGCGCTTAGTTATTTTCTGTGTTATATCTGGGCATGTAACATTATTAAATTGCTCTACTGAGTTCATACCGAGCTATCTTACTCCTATTATTCTTTATTCCCCATGATTTGCTCTCAGCTTCCTATTGAGGTATACAAAATTTTGAATAACCCAGTAGTTAATAATACTGTTGTTTTGCATCAGTTAAAAAAAATGTCCTACACAAACCCTTGGTTCATATGTTGTCTTTCACTGTTGGTCAACTAAAGGTCTCCGATGACTTATATGAAAATGAAGTCTTTTCATCTTTTTCATCCCTGTCAGCTAAATTCAACCTGCCTAATACTCATCTTTTTCATTTTTCCAAATTTTATTCAAAAGCTGTACTTAATCATTTTTTTACTCTTGACCCTGGCCAAAGATGGTTAATATCTATTATTTATGTTAAAATGAGTTCCTTATCCCCATCTCACTCATTTAATGACAAACAACAGACACAGTGGGGGTGGTGTCAGGCCAAACATAAATAGAACATAAAAGTTCAAAACAGGGAAAAAATTGTCCAAGAGGGGTGGCCAAGGGGTGTCCAAAATGAACAGTGGGTATGGTGTCCTCATTGTGCAGGGGATTTGTGAAGAAGAGACAGTGTTCAGTCAGGAAGGGTCCAGGGCAGAGGGCGGGGTCTGGAGGCCACATGCATTTACAGAAGCTCATCTTTCCAGGCCTGTGGTGCTTGCAGTGAATAGTGGCCTGGCATCCTAGCCGGTCTATGGCGTTATGTATGATTCTCCAATCCGGATCATGGTACCAGCGACTCACATCTCTGGTGGTGAATAAGCTCCTTTGCATTCCCTTCCTGGACCCATGAGGACACCAGCATGCACGCATGGGGGAAAGAGACCGGAGATCATTTGCATTCACATACACCTACATTACACACTGCATGAAAAAAGGCAATTTTTGAAATGGCATAATAAAAGCACTTTAAGGACTCTTATTTTGTAATGTTTTGGTTACTATTGATTCTGTGTTTGCTTCATGTGTTCAGTTCCTCTTTGCCTTGTGCCTGGTTTATTCCCATAGTTACCCTTGTTTGTCGCTATAGTTACCATGACAACTAATCACCCACATATGTCGGAAATTGTGGCCTAATGGTTAGCGAGTCGGACTCGTAACCCAAGGTTGTGGGTTCGAGTCTTGTACCGGCAGGGATTGTAGGTGGGGGGAGGGAATGTACAGTGCTCTTTCCCACCTTCAATACCACGACTGAGGTGCCCTTGAGCAAGGCAC